GTTTTCCACAATTAGAACAGACATTCCCTTGTGGACCCGATTTGCTTGTTTCAATTTTGAACGCATTTGATTTTTCTGCTGGTGCACAATCTTCATAATCATTTTTATCTTCAAGTAATTTTGATTTGATTTTGCTCTTTAGGTAATCAACTGTTCTGTCCTTCTCTGGTAATACATCTATTAAGACACCAATGTGACTGTAATTTGAAAGTAATGCTCTTAGCATATAGTTCAATTTTTCTTGTTCCATCACAGGTGGCGCCGGCATGTTTCAGCTTCGTTCACATACTTCTCAAAATCATCGAAAAATATATTTACATCAAGATACATTTTTTTATGACTTTGAGAAGTTTTACACATTCACATGTTTTACACATTCTAAGTTATTTCGAACAAACAATTTGTAGAGATGTTGAAGTTTTTAAATACATTGCATCAAATTTTGTAATTATATCAAATGCAGTCTCACACTCGTGAATATATTCCAATTGCTTGTTTGTTATGGCGCTGTAAATGTAATTTGTAGCTTGGATATCCTTTTCTTCCCATTTTTCCATGTCATCGTTTTCACTGACTTTTCGCTGAACCACATCTTTACACTTTTTAAATTGAAGAAATTTCATCATACGCACTTTCCAATTAAAATAGTCTGAACCATCAACTAGCGGTATGCCGATATCGCTGCTTCTTGTACATGCCATTTTTACGCTAGTACCGGTAACTTTTAAAACAAATTATAACTACTAAATTCTTCATTCCTATTCACGAACCACGAGAACTGCTACCATGTTAAATAAATCGATATCATATGAAGAAGCAAATCGAAAAATAAGAAACGTATCTTTTCACATTTTTTATTGAAACTCAACAACACGTGCACAACATTACAACAGCATCCATAGCTCGCACGCAGAGAAGAAACTTGGTGTTGCCAACATGGTAAATATAAATGTACCAAACTAACAATACTTTGGTACTTATGTATTACCTCATGGATTGTGAAACTATTGCCAAGCAGTGTTATTTAGTGCCAGTTATGGATAAGCATGATGTCATAACACTCAGCATTTGTGCTGATGTAATCATATTTGTTTTTCGATGGGCTACCTTTTGTTTTATAATGAAGGCTATTTGTTCTCTGCATATTGAAAAAGAATTTATTTTGACTGCACTCTGCTTCATTTATAACTGCTTGAGTGAATTAACACTTGTTTGAATGAAAAAAGAAACAGCTGGATATGGCTGACAAAACAGTAATAAATTAACCAATTAACATGCAGGAAGTTTGTATTTCCTGCAATGAATTCCAGTCATAGCTAGTACTCGTAGCTAAACACAGCTTCTGGTAAAATTGGAGGGTTTAATAAAACAGCAGAAATCAGTGAAAGCCTTAGTGTAAAAATGAAGCAGGTAACCAATATTTCTGCAACAGTGGCTATTTGATGGATTGCGCAGAGAAGCTGACAAATTTTTTAGTCTAAAAATTGCAGATAAAAATGTAGCTCAGATTTCAGAATTGGCGCAGACTAAAAGCAATAACGATGTCATATCTCAGTAATCATTCCGTTTTACACTGTTTAGGTTCTTTTCACTTGGATTTATTTTTTGTTCTATATTTTTTAAATAAAAATTGGACAAATAGATTTTTGTTAGCATAATATTTTAATTTTGAAAAATATCTCATTAAATTATTGCAAAATTGTAACTGTATGAAAACTTTTGTCTATATTTTACCCATAGATATTTAAATGAACAATTTTTTTACGGTGACCTTTTTCCATCCAACTATGTTTAATTTTTACTTTTAAATAGTTCAGTATTACTTACTAAAAGAGAAAAATAGAGTAAAATAAAAGCAAAAGAAAACAATTGTCAAATTTTCACAAAATCCAAAATAATTTGTGCCATGAAAGGGTATGCTTCCTCAAGTTGTATGATATGATTTGTAAATCTTAAAGTACTTGATTATTAAACTCCTTTTCCAGTCTTGTCAAATTGTTAGTTATTATTTGACTCAGCAACTTTTCAATGCTAAATAAAAAATGCTTCTTTACTTGAAAATTTACCTTTTACTGAAATGATGAAATTTTGTGTGCAGATGGTATGAAATGATCATACAAACTCATTAATAAAATTATTAGTTTTGAAAATATTTTTGGTATTTTAAAAATGTATATTCACTAAGACACATAGAAAATTGATAGTTTTATTTTAAAATTAAATGTGCATAAGATTTTCTCTGAAAATAATGAAAACAACAGGACATACGAGGGCCATCCAGGAAGTAGATTACGTTTCCGTCTGTGTCCGCTAGGGGCGGGGCTAGCGCGGCCATCTTGGGGTCAGAGCGTTGCGCAGCTCAGTCTGCATCTAGCCGTGCTAGTGAGAGGTTCGTGCTGTGCTCCGTTCAGATACTGTGACGGTTTGAAATGTCTGCGTTAATTGAAAATCCCGCGAACTGCGAGGTGCGCTCAGTAATAAGGTTTGACTGCAAAAAAACTGTAAACCGATAGAAATCTATCAGCAGCTTCGTGAAGTGTATGGGGACAACATTATATCACTGAAGGTGGAGTGCGTCAGTGGGTCAAGATTTCAAAATGGCCGAAACCAATGTTCACGACGAGATCGAAGTGGGAGACCCAGCATAGTGACCGCCGAACTTCTCGAAAAGTCGATGCTAAAGTCCGTGAAATCGAAATTTCACAATAACGGAACTTTCTTTGAGTTTTCCACAAATTTCGCGAAGTTTGTTGCACGAAATCATCAGCGAAAAAAAAAACTTGGTTACCACAGTTTTGTGCAAGATGGATTCCAAAAATCTTGACAGAGGACCACAAAAATCAGCGAATGGCTGCAGTGTTGAACTTTTGGACCTTCCATAAGGATGGTGACTCTTTACTCGATCGCATCGTTATGGTGACGAACTGGGTGAAACATGTGAAACTGTGAAACGAAATTGCAATCAATGCAGTGGGGCACACAAGTTCTCCCCAAAACCCAAGAAATGCATTGCAAACAATGTCGGCAAGGAGAGATGATGGCGACTGTTTTGGGACAGAAAGAAAAGGTGTAATTTTGGTGGACTTCCTGGAAAGAGGCACTACAATATACTCTCAAAGTATTGCCAAACTCCAAAAACTCAGAAGAGCAATTCAAAACAGCGCAGAGAATGTTGAGGCTCTAAGATCTTGTTGATTCACGACAACGCCCGCCCCACGGCAAATGTCACTCGTAATTCTTGAATCTTTTAAAGTGGGAGTTGTTTCCTCATCGCGTACAGTCCCGACCTGGCACCGAGCGACTTCCACTATTCCCAGCAATGAAGAAGTGGCTGGCTATGCAGCGTTTGATGACGACGCCACTGCTCAAGAAGAGGTAACGAATGTGGTGATGTGGCGCAGGCGCCGAATTTTTCGACGAAGGAATTTCCAAGCTCGTACATCGCTACGATAAATGCTTAATTTGTATGGTGACTATGTAGAAAAAGTATATTTGAGTGTGGCTTTCATCTGTATATAATAAAATTTGTTTCCTATACTTTATTTTTTTATTCCAAAACGTAATTACTTTCTGGATAGCCCTCGTACGTTGATATCATCTTGGGATCATGTGACTTCTTAAAAATTAATTTAATCACTCCTCTCCACTTTACTCTTTTAAATGTTGTAATTGCTAAAAATATACATATATAAAATAATATAAAAATTATATCCAAATAATTTAAAAAAATCATATTTTTTAAATGTAATTATTCTCTTCATGTACCGTACCATGCATGGAAATGTATAATGTCTTGTTTCATCCTTCTGTCTGTTCTGTTGTTATTATGTTAATTTTCCTACTTTATCCCTAAATTTTGCTGACAAGTTATTCACTTTATCAAGATTTATAATCCTTTATATTATTGCATTTTTATTTTCTTTTGACACCAGTTCTTGCATTATATTCTTTTTTCACGTTCGTACAGGGTTCGTAGATTTGGAGTGAATAACTATGACACTTGATGAAGTATCTAAAAACAGACTTTATTTACCAATATTAATCAGATCGCTCCAAAATCACTTTTACAGTCGTCAAACTGTTATAAACACGCTGACACAATCAGCGACACAGCCTTCACACCGTCAGGCAATAACGGTGGAGACAGCTTCACTGCAAAACACCGGAGTACAGCTCCCGACTCTGCTTGGTCATTCTAGGAACTCCATGTACTCTCGAGACTCTCCACGCAACAACTCGCAATGCACTCGATGATGCACAAGAGTATAGCTCTCGACTCAGCACAGTCTGAGACAAAACTCGACGATGCACTAATTTATGATACACTAAAAGACTCTCTCGATGCACTTGACGACCAGCTCGGCACTAGACTTCAAGACACTCGCACAATGACTGACTATCAGCTCACTAGACGAGGCACACACTAACTGACTGCAGGCCAGCAGGGTTTATATAGCTTTTGACTTGTGTTCGAGAACATTCTGGGCTAAACCGGTAATAGTTCGTTCCAGAAGGTTCTCCGACCGTCCCTGGTACGTTGCCAAATGGGCGATTTCTCACCAAATGTGGCAACCTTGCCTTCCCTTGGTATTTTATGGCAACTCTAAACCTGCTTTGCGGGGAATCTATCTTACGGCGGCTGAACATTTCGTAAGAATATTAAAAAGTGAATGTCAGAGTCAATTGTGAAGTCTAGATTTTCTAAACTCTAAAAATATTTCTGGGCATACTTGCAACTTGTTCAGCCTTTTGCTGAAAACAGATATGCTAAATAAAATTGCAAAATTATTTACCCACCTTTCATTTCTGAAAAAAGATTTGAGTAAAAATTAAAGGTAACCATTTCTTTGCATTTCTTGCATCGAACGTATTTTATTATTTTAGCTGCCTAAATAGTAAGTGTATTTTATTATTTTAGCTGCCTAAATAGTAAAATGTATTGAATTTAAAATGTCATTTTTTATTTAAATGTATATTATACATCTTCATTATAATTATAGATAGCTGAAGAATGGGCTTCCAATCAGTTTGTGATAGAAGGAGATGAAGATATTCATTCTGCAAATGAAAGAAGGCTTAAGGTATCATTGATTGAAGATAACAGTACTTTTTTTTCCTTTTAATAACTAAGCTTTTGATAACAGATGATCTGATGCCTAAACAAAATTATAAAGAAGACTTCTGAAATGATTTACATGTAATTTTCAAAATCTGTATGAATCTGGCATTATGATTACAAGTGGTTTAATCGCCACACGCTATTGCAGTCTTCAGCTCATTTTTTTAAGAATGTAGGAAAATCGAAATAAGCAACTTGCACAAAACAGTACTTTTGATTAATAAAATAGTATCTTATTTGAAAATTAGATATTGTTTGATCTACTGATTATGTGTAATATTTGTCTAGATGAACAGATCCATATTTCTTGTGTTTTTCCTCTTGGCAGTGTTATTTTGTAATAAATGGTAGTATCATTTTCTCATGATGACACCTTTGAAATATAATTTCTGTGTAGAATGAGATTTGAGAGTTCAGAGAATTTTCCTTTCACTCACATCATTTGTTTTGATCTTTTCCTGAGGTGAATCTTTTCATCAGTTTATGCGATGGCATTACCATCATATTTAGTTCATTTGGTAAGAAATTTGAAATTTAGTGCTAATGATAGTACAAAAAACATTTATTAGTTATTTAAAAATAATCCAATATTTAAAAATATCTTGCTTTCAATTTAAAAGTTTTTTTTAATTAATTTATTGTGCTGATAAAGAAGTTTATACCTCTCTATCAGCACAATAAATGCTAACTATATATAGTTATATAAAATATATTTATATTGTGATTTAGTATGTATATATAAAATAAATACATACTAAATCTGTATCTGTACTAAATCTGTACTAGATTTCCATGGCCAAGGCATTCTGCTAAATTTCATGAAGCCCAATATGAAAATGTATTTTTTGTACCATTTTGTTACATAAAAATTTTAAATGTCACCACAAATAAAAAAATTATATTTTTGTTAAAAAGTTTATTAATATTAGAGGAATAATTGAAAGCATGTTTTTTCAATACATTGTAAGTTAAGTACATTAAATAGCAAGAACAATAAATGAAATAATTAACAAATTCATTGCTTAATAAACCTTACATGCTTATACCTGCACCATGTGTTACATGTAAACTTACTTATATGCCTATACATTTTTTCAAATCTATTTATTAGCATATTAATTTATTACTGAAATAATAGGAAGTTTTGAAACGGTAGGAAGTTTTTTCAATAATTCTGGAACTGGACTATGTGCTAAATTAGATCAAGTCTTTAAATTTGTAAATAATATTCTTCTGTAGCAACTAAAGATGGCTTGTTTAGCAGAATGCATAATCCCATATTATAAAGAAACAAAAGATTCAAATGATTACTGGTAATATCATTTTAAAAATTCAGTTGGAGCAAAGTCATGCTTTTCCAAAATTGCATAAAATCCACAATTTGTATAATTATTTAATTCAATTAATTTGTTCATTAAAATTCATAGTAAAATTCTGCACAGTTTATATTGCTATTATTTTAATATTTATTTTTGACAGTGTCTGTATTTCAAATCTGTTTATTCAGTGAATTTAGAAACATTCAGAAATAATTTGTTAAAATTTTGTCATTCAAACTTGTTGATTTATCAGAAATTTGACACATTCTTTTCTCTCCTTAGCTATTGCATTAGATGTAATAACATCTACAATAGAAATAAGGATTCATTATGATCTCTGCTCTTCGATTCTTTGGTAGATGTTAAGAATAATAGTAGTTGTGCCTGTAGTTCATATTCTTTTTGGCAGCTATTGAGAATTGACTGTAACAATAACCCTGACAGAAAAATCATTATTTTAAACTGTAATTGATTTTCAGAGAAATTAGATAGCAGTATTTTCTTCAAATAGCTTTCCTTAAAAACAGTTAAGATTGTGAAAAGTTAATTTTAAAAGAAAATTATCAGGCATTCTTAAATATTCATTCATTATATTTTAGCCTTCCAGAACCACCATATGGCATTCTATCTTGGTTTTACATCTAGACAGCTTTAAAGATTGCATATAAACTTGTATTTTATCTGTGTTATGAAGACACTTACATAATATAATAATAATCACTCATTCACCATTATAATCGTTTTTTGTACTCAGTTCATAGATCACACACACAGTGGCTCTCGGCCATTTTTTTTTAAACCTTTTCTCTACCGCTCTCAGCTCAGGAGTCCAGTTGCTATTTGAGCATGTGTAAACATGTTCCCTGGCGTTGAAATGTTTTTAAAACATCCAATCACTAAGCTTTATGAGAAATTTCATAGTAGTTTACAAATTAAAACACTGACAATTCAGTAACATAGCATTTAAACCATTATACAATACATAACACAAGAAATAATTCTCATTGAAAATTTACCTATGCACAATTTAAAAACAATTTCACTTATACACTTAATATATAAAAATTTTCTTTCAGGCATAGGTAAAACACAGATTTTGGAAATACATTTTTTAAATATACATGCTTTAGTTTTAGTTTTAACAACCTGAATTTCTTTTTATCTCCACCATAATTAATTATTTGACCTACAACCCACTTGTGAGTAGGTACATTTTCCTCTATCAATCACACTTAATTTCATATATAAATATTATCTTTTTTTAAATCTCTATTTATTTCTTTGTTGCAGTTCATTTAAGTAACTATGGTGCCATTTTTTCCAGATGAATTGCACGATTTTTGTTATTCTCTGCCATTTTTCAAGTCGATTTTCTTTTAAATTGGTTAAATCAGGCTCATTAACTGAATTTATTTATCTATTTATCAAAAAATGCACATGCATTAAAACTTCAAAATCATCTTCGTTAGCTGTTAATGGACACAGAGGTCTTGAATTTAAAATTTCCTCAGTCTATATAATTACTGTTAAGAACTCTTCATACATTAAATTTGTGCTGCCTACAACTCTTTTAAGGTGATACTTGAATGATTTAATTGCAGCTTCCCCAAAGCCTCCGAAATTGGGTGCCCCATGTTGAATGAATTTCCATTCAATATTCTTGGCAGATAAATAATTAGCTTTTCATTTGAGTTTCATTTGGGATTTTTATTAGGTTATGAAGTCTTTTTTATTTCTTTGTTAGCACCAACAAAATTTGTGGCATTGTAAGAATATAATATTACACATTTATCCCTATGAGAGATATAAATCTCCTTAACTCTGGTATGAAGGCTTTAGAAGTTAGATCTGTGACTATTTCAATATGCACTGCCTTTGACACAAAACGTATAAATATGCAAACATACGTTGTATGTAAAATTCCTTTTCTTTCATTACAATATCTTATAAAAAATGGATCACAGAAGTCCATACCACTACAATTAAGAAGATAATCTGGTACAATGTCTAATGGGAGATTTCCCATTATTATTTTTTTTTACATGAAATACAATTATGTACTACCTTAATGACAAATCAATCTAACATTTAATGGCCAGAACTTTTCGCATGCATGACTCAATAGTGCGGTTTCACTAACATGCAAAAATTTTTTGTGATAATGTTCAATAACTAATATCATAAATTTGTTAACGTAGGTAATATTGTCTTATGTTTATGGGTTTCTCACATCAAGAGCAATTCTGCTTTGACTTTTCCCTGCATGCTAATTGGTCCTGACAAGGGATTTTTCGAATTATTCACAAACCTGAAAATATAACTAACAACATTTAAAATAGTTATATAATTATTACTCGATTTAAATAAATTATATTAAAAAATTACTAACATTCAACACTGGTAAAGTGTCTTTAGAGTCTTTATGAGATGAGTTTTCGAGTTCTGCACTGAACTCTTGACTTTTATCCGAGATATTACTATCTGAGTTGGATAGTCACTGTCCACCAGAAACACTGCACCACACCACCACAATTTGTGATGCACTAGCTTATCAGAATCTACACCCCATGGCAGGAGGTCTGCCAGATTCAAATCTGATGCCACTGTTGAAAAGATGAAGGTTCTTGAATTGTGGCCTCTCTATGCTGAATAAATGTCTTAAGGTACATAGGTTGCTTTTGTATCCATGCAAGGGCTATTGTTGAAGCTACCCATTAGTAGACTTGAATCACTGCTAATTTCAAGGTGATAAAAACTTTTTTACCAACTTTTTTTTTACCAAAGTAATGGGATAGCAGCACATAGCTCAAACCTGGGAATCATTTAGGCACTTAAGAGGAACAACTCTTGATTTTCTCGTGATTAACCTTACCAGTATTCTCCCAGAAGAACTGCTGGACTTAAAATAAACTGCTGCTCTGAAACAACATTCAGAACCATCGGCAAAACCATGGATCTCAACAATTTGGCTTGGTCAGCCACTACACATCTGTCAATATCGATGTTTATACTCTCTAGTGTCTCCAGAAATTGATGCAATTCCTGTTTTTCCGTAGCAGGAAGTCTATCACTCTAATCAATTTTAAGATGCTACAGTTCTGCATAAAAATCTTCACTTTGCCTGTAACTGGGCCAAGAAGACCCAAATGATAAAATATTCTGGCAATTGAAGATAAGACACATCTCTTAGTGTATAATACACTAGGCTCTGCTTTAACTCTGAAGGAAAATTAGTCCTTTATTGGTTTCCATGACATGCCCAAGGTTTTCATTTCAACTGGATCAGAGAATTGTATTCTTTCTGATTTAGAGGAAGTTCAGAATGATTTGTGCACAATTTATGCATCTGCATGCTGCCCTTTGCAAAACCTCTATAAGCTGCTGTTGTAACTCTTTTGGCTTCTTTTACGTCGAAGTTCAGGATAACATATCATCCATGTAGAAATTTTGGCGTAACACAGGCGCTGTCATCAGAAAATTACTCTCTTCATCTAATGAAAGTTGTTTTAGTGTCCTCATTACTATGAGGAGAGCACTGACCGTACCATACATAACTGTTACCAGGTCATAGGTGTCTGGTGGCTTACTGGCACTATCACTCCACTGGATTCTTTGAAGGTTGTGTTGACATTTATCAGTATAATCCTATACATCTTTTTCACATCAGCCATTAAGACATATACATGAATTTTAAATCCAGTCATTATCGAAAATAAATCTTGTTGTATAACTCCACCATTATCCTGGAGAGAGTTGAGTAAAATATTGGTAGTTGTTAACTTGAACAGTTAAAGATGACTCTTTAATACTAGTTTTTTCTGGTTTATATACTGTTTATATACTGCATGCTTTGTTGCATAATATGGCACTTCAGGCTCTTTTTCTTTAACTTCCTTCATATGTCCTAGTTCAGTATACTCATGAATTAAGTCATGTTATATATAGAGAGAGATTTTGGATCTCTCAACAATCGAGTCCAGAGCGATCTGAGTTTTTTAAGGAGTACTGTTACCACATATCTCCTTTCCTCATTTCTCCAGTGCATTCACACAAAATGTTCCTCACACATAAAATTTTCTTTACTTTTGTTTAATTCTAAATCTACATTTTGAATTTCCTCAAAATTTTTTAATGTTTTATTTAAATCCTCTTCCCATATCAATCTGCAATGTATTTCCACTGGTGGCATAGCCAAACATTGTATTTTGTAAACGTAGTTTTGGATTTTTTGCATAAATTTGTCCTGGCCTCAATTCATAGAAAACTCTGCTCCTAACAACAAATCAGTTTTCCCTGGGATATTAAAACTGTAATCAGCTAATGGTACTAAGTCTAAAATCTCAATATTTACACTGAGTACTTGATGTGGTATAAGATCTGTAATTTTTTTACTACAAGCAAATTTACATCTTTCTCAAAACTTCTATTTTTATTTGCGGTTGTTGTCGTAACGTGACCCGTCGCTACCATTGGCAAATCATTTAAACATAAGATTAATGTACACTCTTAGGGGGAAAAAGAAAAAAAAAAAAAAAAACAATGCACCAAGAAGATATAAAGAAAATTGGAAACAAATTCATATGCATAGAGGTTTCGACAAAAAATTGCAAAATTTTACAATTTGACTGCCAATGAATGAACGGTCGTCGCTACAGTGCACATGAAGTGTGCAACTGAGAGGATATTTAAGAGGAGAAATTACGATTCCAGGTCATAAATTCTTCATGAATTTCATTCCATATACTCTGGTAGACAGTACCTATGCCTTGCAAACAGGCCCGCGAACAATATGAGATGTCAGAATTTGAGAGAGGTTGTGTAGTTGGGTACAAAGAAGCCGGTTGGTCCTTATTAGCAAATAGCTAGACATTTGAGCAGGAGCGATGCCACTATTAGACTGATGTTGGCAGGAATGGGTGAACCATGGCCTCACACAGCATTAAGAAGGAAGCAGTAGGCCTAGAGAAATGACAGAACTTGAAGACCGAGCAATCGTCATAGCGGCACTTACAACCGCAGATCCATCATTATCATCGATTGTATGTGCAACTAGTGCTTCAGTGACTGCAACGACCATTCATAGATGGCTCCCAGAAAGGGGGCTGAGGTCACGGCACCCCTTGTGCTGACTACCAGACTACCATTGACCTCTGTACAACGTCAAGCTCGTTTGCAGTGGTGTTGGGCTCATTCTCACTGGAATGTCACTGACTGGAGTAGAATAGTCTTCAATGACGAGTCCCGCTTTGAATTGAACCCCAATGACCAGCAAAGGCGAGTCTGGAGATGCCCCGGACAGTGATGTGATATCAACCTGACTGTCTTCAGGCAGACAGGCTGATAACCAAGGAGTGATGGTCTGGGATGCCATTTCATTTCATAGTGGGACCCCTTTGGTTGTCATCTGTCACAACCTTACAGCACAGTGGTACATCCACGAAGTTCTAAGGCCCATTGTATTGCCCTTCATGTCACGCCACCCTGGGCTTACATTTCAGCAAGATAATGCCCGCCCCCACACTGCACGTTTCTACTGCTTACCTTAGTGCTTGCCGAACATTACCTTGGCCAGCAAGGTAGCCGGATCTCTCTCCTTTTGAGCACGTTTGGAGCATTATGAGCAGGGCCCTACAACCAGCTCGGGATGTTGACAATCCAACGTGCCAGTTAAACAGAATTTGGCACAATATCCCTCAGGAGGACATCTACAACCTCTATCAATCGATGCCAAGCTGAATAACTGCGTGCATAAGGGCCTGACGTGAACAAGCACGTTACTGACCTTTTCACTTTGTGAAGCTCTATCACTTCAATAAATCATCCAATTTTTCTCAAACTGTAATCATTTGTTTTTCTGTACATGTCTATCACTTCTACCGATCTTCATCTTATTCGGATAACTCCTTCTTGGTGCGTCGTATTTGTTTTTGTTTAAGAGTGTATTTATTTATTTCACTTTTTATTCCTAAGCACTTTACACATTGTTGACTTAATAAACATGTCTGTAATACTGATCCAATATACATCTCACCTTTTCCCACTGCAAACTGTTATTTTTAATTAATGCTAGAATAGTGCTCAATAGAACATCTTTTGTGTTAGCTATTGCAAAGAAAGAGGTGATGACAGGTTTATTTATGCTTGAATCCTGGATGGGGGGGGACCGCATTTTCATAAATTTGATTTCCGCTCATGCTTTGCAGCTTAAGGACATTCAAAAGAGTCCTGCAATCAGGCTTTTTTTTATTTTGTCTTGAAAAATGAACTAATTTATTATGTGGCTTGCCACAGAAGCAATCTCTCGCTGCATAATTTCTTTCACTACATTCGGGTGACAAACATTTGGAATATGCTTTATTTATTTTAATCACTTCTACTCTTTCAGAAACCAAAAGTTGTTAGATTGTGGACATGAATTTAAAAGTGGACTTCGCCGCGGCGCACAATGAATTGGAAGTTGATCTGTCAGCACTATTCTTATCTTCAGGGCAGATGTTTTTATTTTATTTGGCTTATAATTCCTTACTAAATGTAGTATTTCATCTCGATGTACTCCATCTTTGATATGATTTAAATCAAATTCCTCGTCATTATAATTCGCTTCCGATAGTGATGAAAGTGACACAGAGGTTATTGAAAACGAAAAAATTTCGATTGGCAAATTAGTCGGTATTCTCGACACAGCAATTTTAGGACTTGAACAGCGGAACTTTGTAACTGAACAAGAAATTATGTATGTTTATAGAATTAAAGAGAAAGTATTATCACATAAAACGAAGCAACTTAAACAACTTACATTAAAAGAAATTTTTAATAAAGTAAACAAATAATTATTAAGCTTTTTTTTTGTAAATTTTGATACCCTTTAGATCATAATTGTTCTTTATTTCATAAATTACGGTTTCATATTTTTAATTTTATAATTTCTGCATGCCATCTTACCAGATTTAAACTGATGATCTATAGTCTGGAAAAATCGATAATCCGGAATCGCGGAAGTCCCTGCGAGTCCGAATTAACGACCTTTGACTGTATATGTAATTATAAAGAAAATAACATAGGAACTGTAAAAATAATCAAGAAATTTATAGTAATCCTTGTTATAATAATTGTTGTAAAAATAATCAATCTTTGTTATAAGCAACCACCAACTATGAATGTACTTGTTACAAGTAGACTCGTAGTTGGTGCTGTCATATAAAAGTGTATCGCAAAAACCGACTGTGATATAACTCCCATAATTAATAAAGCAATTAAAAATTATTTAAATTCATTATTTCTCATAAATATGTTTTGTATTTTTATTTTACAATTAATTAATTAAAATTTGTTGGCATGGTGGAACCATTTTTGAAAATGTCGCTCGGCAGTTAACGTATTAAAGTACATTACCCTTAATATATTTTGTGAAGCAACACTGATCTCTGCTTTTTCTGTAAAATCATCTTTTACTCTGATCTATGTCTGTATGTATTTAGTTATTTATTTGAAATTTGTACACAGGTGTAGAATAGGCAATCCGATTTCTAATTTCAGGAAATTATTGGAAAAGAAATAGGGGGAAAACTTCATGTTGGGCGAAGTAGAAATGATCAGGTACTTATCTTAAGTTATTATTTATTTATTTTTGTTCTTCTGCCCATATTACATCTTTTTATGCTGAGTGGAATGTGTTTTTTGCTTCAAAAGATCTATTATATGACTTTTCAAAAGGGGTGTAACTGGTATTTGACATATGTAGCATTTATAACAGTACAAAGTTAATATGTCCTTTAACAGTGTTCAAGTCATAAAACTCTTTCTGTCGGTTTGTGCAGTTTTTAAGGCATTCAGCTTTGGTGTTTTCTGGATTAATAGTTTTCATTTAATTAATTTAATTTTCAGCCTAATGTTTCATAATAATGTAGCACCCATATGTCAGTTCTAATTATACAGGATTGTTATTTGTTTTTGTTATTTGAATTTTCTATTAACAATTATTTTTCAATTTGGGAAATATAAATAAATTTTTAAAAATTATTTGCAGTTTTTATGAAGTAAGTGCCCATTTTTATTCATTTATTGCAAAAATAAAAAATTTAGCTGCCCATAAGATGGGTTTTGTCTATCATACAAACACAGATTAAAATCTTTAAAAAAAAAAAAAAGAAGAAAAAAAAGATATTCAGCATCATTTACACATCTGAATTAGAGGCAGTTTTTTCTGATATTGAATGAAATGATTAATTAAAAAAATGTATAAAAATACTGCAGAAAAATAAAATGTTTATATGCTTAAAAAAGTATGAAAGATCAGAGTAACAAGAAGTACAAAGAATTTTATACTTCCATATGCAGAAAAAGAAGAGAATAAACTGGTACATACATGCATAAAATAAAAATTGAACATGTACTGTCCAGATTTAAAAAAAACACCCAGCATTTTATTTTGAATATTTTGAAAAAATTCTTACTTATAACTATTTTACCGATTGTTTTTCTCCTAACCATTCAAAATGAAGAATTTTTTTAATTATGTAATAAAAATACTTTTGGTGCTTATTACTTATACCGAGTCACATTTTCTTGGCAGTAACTTTTTGGTGACAAAGTATCTCCAGTGACATTTTAGTAATCCTTATTTGTTTCTAATTTCTAGCTTTTCTGTCTGCAAAAGATATTCTGCATAACAATCATTTGCGTTTTCTCTTCTCATCTCTTATTACATCAATTTTGCTCATTTGCGTTTCTTTTATTGTAGTAGCTAAGCATTTAATTTATAATGTAAAGCAAGTGCAGCTTGCAGAATTTGCTAGTGAGAGAACTCAAAGCTTATAATCATCTTTCAAGAGTTTGGGTACCTACCACCATTGAGTAGTAAGACCTCTGAATACCGTTACTTAGAATTGGATTGAACTCTCAGTGAGCTGGTTGCCTTTGTGAGAATTTTCATGGTTTAGCCACTGGCAATATTTTATCTTTAAAAGAATTCATGGTACTAAAAGAAATCATTACCAAGAAAATATGATCCAGTATAACCAATAAGTGCCACAGTGTACCTACCACAGTGTAAAAGAAATCAAAATATATATCTTCAATTAATTTTATCTTTTTGTAAAATTTGCAAAAGCAATTAATATTTTAAGGCAGTGTCATTTTATGATAGAAATTTTGTTAAAGTTTGTTTATATCTATAAAACTTGAATAGTAGTTTGGCCCACTGGATTAGATTGTGTGCAGAGCAATTTTGATTTTGAATTAAAATAATATTCTTTTGTCACAAAAAATATATCTAGAGGTTTTTTAATACTCATATGCTGTTGAGAAGCTTGCTGAAATAAGTACAGTAATAATGATATAAGTTGCAGACTTCTTTTCTGTGGATTATTCTGCTGTTTTCCATTTATGGAAAATTTATTAATTGTTATCAGAAATCTGCTGTATGCTGCCATCGTTATGCAACATCTTTTTATAACAAGCATATCACATTCCTTAGCTAATTCAATTGCTAAGTGGCTATGCCAAACTTAGGAAAAGTTGGTAACTGATAATACAAAATCACAAATTTCTGTTCCTTTGAGCATTTAGTTACATATTCTTGATTAAAGTTGTATTATAAACATGTAACGTAACCAGCAGCATAGTAGTCTAATATTTGTTTAAATGCATAGATGAGTCCGGCCTTGCTATAAAAAGAAGTTTGGCGAGAGTAAAAACATGTAATCAGCCAAATAATATTATATAACATCATGCCTTTAGTTGTTGCATGGATTTTCTTTCAAATACTGCATTGATTTATCTCTGTTCATAAGGTTATCTGTGATAGCAGCAGAAATTAAGATCAAGTGAGGCTGCATTGTAGCAATGTGTCTAGATATTCTTTTGATGTTAGATATTCATTTATGCAGAGTCAAATTTTGCTCTGTATAAACAAACCTCATCTGAGGTGCAGGTATTGCATGCATTTAGCTTGAGTATTCTGCTGTTTCAGATTCATCAAAAAACTTTTATAATGCCCTTTGGGGAGGGACTGTTTCAGGCTATAATATCACATTAACTATTTTACAAGAACTCCAAACTACCATGTTACAGAAATTGCAGTTTAAAATCAAAGGAGACTGCAACTCATTAAAAGCTTATTTGTTTTTTATAGCATGCAGAACGTTTTTCCAGGTGTACTAAGTAAACATTTCAAGAATGAAAACTGTATGTAAATATTTTAGCCATATAAAAAGTCTCTGTGGTGTTTTCATACATTTTGAACAAAAATTTTCTATATTAAAAATCAGTTTTAATCAAGTACATATTGACCATCATTATCTATGAACTTTTGCCATTTTTCGAGTAGCTTCATAATTCCATCGGTGTAGAGCTTCTGTTGTTTATCATCAAAAAACACGGCCAAGTAATTTTCAGCGGTGCTTCAGCTGGCCAATTTTTTTTACCATCAAGTGAGTTTTGCAGACACCAAAACAAATGGCAGTTAGACTGTGCAAGATCCGGGTTATGTGGTGGATGTATCAAAACTTTCCAACCCACTTCCTTCAATTTGTTCCGAGTCATCAAAGATGTGTGTGGCTGTGCATTGTCATGATGGAACACAACTCCCTTTCTGTTGACCAATTCTGGTCGTTCTTTCTGGATTGCTTAATTCAAATGGTCGAGTTGTGCACAGTATAAGGCCAAATTGATGGTTTTGCCAGGTTGCAGCAGCTTATAAGGGACAATTCCCTTCCAATCTCGACATTGAAATTTCCAGAATGGAATCGAGTAAACCTCTCCTGGGTCCTTCGTTAACTCACAGCATTCTCACCATACACTTCACAAATTTTTCAGCATGTTTTTGACTTTTTTTATAGTAAAAAAGCATCACATAGCATATTTCTTCAGATATTTTACATATTTTCAAATAGTATACCTTTTTACACGAGCAACGAATTAGAAAACTATCTTCACAAACAATGAAAACTGAATGTCACCTGTTAAGCACATGTCCGTTTGAGACAATAGGGTGAATATTGCTGGACATCAACACTGTCTAGTGGCAAAGAACTATGGCAGAGACATTTTATATGACCCTATATATTTACTTCAATTATGTTATTACTAGAAAGCCCGGCGGTCATACAAAATGACTGCTGTTCTAGATATTATAAATTGTGATTAAAATGATTTGCATTCAGTTGTAAACCATTTCAAAACCAGATGATTGCTAATGCAAACAAATGTTCACATTCCCCCTGACATGCTCAATTTGCATTCAGTTGAAAATTCAGTGTAAAATACAATGTCAGAATAAAATCGGGCAAAATTTTAAACTCTTTACATGAAAGAATATTTAGCATAGGAGTTTGGGTAAACCCACCTGATGAGATGTACTACGCACAACTCGTTAGTTGGTTTCGTCTCCTTTAATTTCTCAACGTTTGCAAGTTTTTAGGTAATTCATATGTAAATATAGTTAAATGCATAATAAGCAACAAATGTATGAATTAAAAATATTTAAATGTTCTTAAATACCATGATAATTTAATTAAAACAATGATAACTGCACGTATGGTATTAGTGTATATGGACTATTTGAATGCCATGGCAACTTCACCCCATTAACTAGTACAGTTACGCAAGCAACCAATAAACTATCGGCGACAAACAGACATTTAAGCCGCATATGATAAAGATACTAATGAATAAGTAACTCATTTGGCTTCTTCCGTGGGAAATTTGAAGTCATTCAAAGCATAATGTTTTCCTTCCCCTTTTAAATAGCAAATATATTAATTACTACATGCTTAATTTGTAGAATGCTATATATATATATAAATATCATGTCCACAAAAGTACTTACCCAATCTCTTTTTTTTTCCCAAATGTTATTTATTATATTGGGTTGTCTTAGAAGTTATGGCACTCTTTTTAATGTTCTTCATACATCCTTTATTTATATAAAGAACAATGATCAGTCAATAGTATATTGCCCATTTTGTTGAATAACGTTTTGCTTTCTTTTGTTGAGCTTTGTAGTTCCTCATTCACAAAAGAACCTAGCTATATCAATAAAAAGCTGAATGAGTTGCTGAATTACAGCCTCAGCTGAACTGAATGTTATACCACAAAAGAAATTTTGAAGAGACTGAAACATGGGAAAGTCTGAGGGCACAAGATCAGACGAGTATGATACACATTGCAATACTTTTCATCCAAACCCCAATAATTTTTGTCAGGTGGTCAAACTTGTGTGTGGTCTCATGGTAGCAGGATAGAATGCAGTTCTTATATGATTACTGAGGTCTGGAAATTTCTAGATGTTGGATTCATTGAAACTGTCAAGTTGGCAATAGCACACATTCAGGCTGATTTGTTGGCCCATTGGTGGGAACTGAGAAACAAGACCACACACCAGTTTGATCACTGACAAAAATTATTTGAGTTTGGATAAAAGGTGTTGCCACACATATCATAGTTATCTGATCCTGAGCCCTCAGACTTTCACTTGTTTTGCTGCCTTCAAAATTTCTTTTCTAGTAAAACATTCAATTCAGATGAGGCTGTAAATCAACGCCTTGTTCAGCTTTTCATTGATACACCTAAGTTTTTTTTGCGAATGGGGAACTATG